TAATCCTGTCCCCAGAAAGCAAAGAGGTTGGCTTTAATAGAATTTAAAGCCTATTTATACACTATCCGAGGTGTCACATCCCACTAATTTAAACCTTGAGAGTTTGAATAATAAATTAGATAGAGGACCAGGTAGTAAAGTAGATTTAGAGATGAAACAACTTTTGAAGTGAGATCTGACTCCTGACCGATTGATATTTTTCAAATTACCGATCTAAGAAGGGTAAAATGGAAAAGTTAGGTAAAATTCTAGAAAATTATTAGAAAATCATAGAAAAATAAATTAGAGAGTTTGGAACCATATTTGAGGCCTTGAAAGTGGAATTATTATAAAAATAATTTATTACAAAAAATTTTGTAAACAGAGGCTTTTTCGGTAAAATAGTGGAAAATCAGTTGGAAACAATTATTATAAATATATAAAAGGCCTCAATAATTTTAGAAAAAATATAAAAAAATTATTTGAAGATTTATTTGAGATTATAAAATTATTTCTAGGCTCTAAAAGTAAAATAATTAATTTTAGAATAATTATTGCCAAAATCTTATCAGTAAAACCTAATTTTGGAGAAACTTTGGTACAGGTAGTTTGAGGCTAAATTAAATTCTAGAAAAATTCAAGAAATGGTCCTATATTAAGATGATTTTAGATAGGTAGAAATAAATTTTTAGAGGTCCAGAAATATGATTAAAAATTAGACAGAAATTTTAGCTAATATAGCGAAATCGGATTGAGAAATGTTGGGAATTGAAAGGTAACACTTCTCCCTTCTTTTTCTAACTTATTGGGCGTGATTTTGGGCCAAAAAACTCCAAAAATTTCATGGCATAAGTGGCTTATATGATTATGGAATAAAATAATAGGAAATTAGCATATGGTTTATCCTAAGCACATAATTGCATAGGATACTTGGCTTGCTCCAATTTTTTGCCCCATAAGAGGTTGGACACATGGCTTTTTAATTCAAATTTTTTAGGGACACTTAGAGCAAGGGGAAGGCTGAAATGTGTCTATAAATACCCTCCTAAGCCCTTCAAAACTCAGTTATTTGGCACTCTAAAAGGGGGAGGTTTTGCTGCAGAAAAACTAAACTTAGAGAGCTAAGAAAACGTAGGAAATAGCCAAAAATTATCAAGCAAAGATCAAAAATTAATCAAGGCATGTAAGAGCTTCCTTTTGACTATGGTTTTAGCTTGTTTCAAGTGAAGTTTGGTGACAAAAATCCTAAGGTATCATGCTGTCCAATTTTCAAATTCAATGAGGAATGATTAGGGAAGAATAGAAACCATGACTTAAAGCTTGGATTGGCTTGTTTGGTTGATGTTTTGATTGATTTTGGAAGAAATTCCAAATTCCCTAATTTAGGAAACCTATTCGGCCAGGCCTGGTACAAGAGGCTAGAGATTTTTTTTTAGTTTAACTTGATGATTCCAATAAGTTTAGAATGTGATTTTGCATGGGAATACACTAAGAGAAAGTGTTAGAAAGCATTGGAATTAAAAATGAAACTTCTAACCCTAATATATATATAATATTCGGCCAAGCTCAATGCAATAAGGAAGAGTTTGACTTTTATAAAATCAAGTTGATATTTGAATTCTACATGAAAAATTGTGTAGGAATGGCCATTAAGACTTGACAAAACAAAGATGAAAAATTAATGTCAAAAGTCAAAAAAAGGAGGGTTATAGAGTTATCGTGATACCTAATAGTATTTTATGTGGCATTATTGAAATATAGCATATATTTATAGATGAATTGGTAGGCATTGATCAAAAGAACAAAGAGGAGCAATGAGAAAGAGAAGAGGCCAAATACTCGGGATATAAAGAGGTAGCAATGAATTTGCAATTTGAATGCTAATTTGCTTTGCTTGTTTTACTATGTGTTGCTTGATTTTTCTATTCCATGATGTGATAGAGCTAGATGAATGATAATGTGATTAACTCCATGCATAACATGACTTGGCTTTATGCAATGTTGAGTGATTGAATGGCATGTTTACTTGCTCTCTTTCCATGGCATATGAGCATAAAAGTAAACATGATATTTAGTTAGTAACATATAGTATTCTTACATTGCATGTTTAGCATGATTATTATAGTTCTTGCTACTGAGATTTCTATGAAATCTCACTCCTTCCATGTTTATTTAATCAACAATTTAGGATTCGGAATATCCGAGGAGAAGGGCAAGGAGACAATGTTGGAATGAAGTTGTTAATGCCTAAAGTGTTTATGATTTTATGTGAACTTTATGATGTAAATTTGTAATAATTTATGTTTGAAGTTTGGATACTTGTATTGTTGATCTTAGTTACTGTAATGGACTAGAAATATGGTGTTGAACATGCGATAAGTGAATAAAATAACCATATGATCTCAAGGAAAGAGAATGAGAGAGAAAAAGCATGAAAAGAGATAATTTAACCCTAATAGTGCTTAAGTTTCATGCCAACTTGATTCTAGTCAAATGAATGAGTTTTGGGTTGAAACTTGGTAGCTTCATAGAACATATTTTAGGTTTAAAACAAGTGGTATTTCATCAAAATTGGAGTTTTGTACAAAAACTTATGCCTTTCCAATGTTGGGCATAAATTCTGAAAAATTAGAAATTTACCATATGAATAGTACTACTTTGCGTGAATTCTGGGAATGATTGATAAAGGCTTGGTACCAGAGAGCATTTTTCTTCTAAAGGTCATGTTAAGAGCTTTAAATGGAACTTAAAACCAAGTCATTTTGATTTTTCTAAAATTAGTTATAATTTTTCAAAGTTTGGCCTTTGTTTAGAGTTACATGAATAGTAACCTGAATTTAATGAACTTAAAATTTTGCATTTCTAACTTAAGGCCATGATAAGTGGTTCCAATTGGTTCTATTTGAAAGGTTATATAGTCTAAAAGAAAGGTGTGACATGAGAAAAGTCAAAATAAACTGTTTAAGGTTGACTTTTGACTTAAGAAAAATTGGAGAAATTTCCTGTGATGAAAAGGTAGTATTGGTATCTAGGGACATATTCGTGGAGTTATGGACCTTTATAGAGAATTCGGTCAAGTTTACTCTGAAATAAATATTATTAAATATTTTAATGGAAGAACAAAGGAAGAGCATCACTTTCTCTGTAGGCATGTTATATAATACTATGTGAGGTTAATTGTGATGAAAAAAGGGTACAGAGTATGTCCCAGGGTTACTGGGTACGTCAGGACCTAAAAAAGTACTCGATATGATGTAAAACAATAAAATCTATAGAGGAATAGTCAAGGGGGTGAGGGAGCATGAATTTCTCCCTATTTTAATGTAAATTTGATGAAGGGTCATGAATGGAATAATACATTTAGTTAAGGGTTAAGTTTAGAAGAATATAATTATGTAATAAAATTTTTTTATTTACCACACATGTGTAACAGGCGGCACATGTGAGGTGGCTTATGGCATTGAATGAAGGGGACACCTAATGGGCTCATGTGGCAAAATCAAGATAGAAGGAAAGAGGATAAGGGACATTTGGCAAGTTATCATAACATGTGGTGAAATCATGAGCTAGGTGGCTTAATCGTGAAACACATGGCAATACATGATATAAGAGGTGTGATGTCATGAGAAGTAAGCAGTCTAGAAGCCTAGACTCATGTCAATCTTGATTACACATGGCAAGATCACAAGTGTACTAGCCTAAGATTTGTCCATTTGTAATGAAGAGAAAAATGAAGGGTTAAGATTTAGCCATATACCTCTTGTAATTTTATGCAACTCTAGGGGTTAAGAGTTAATAGGAGCCCTATAAATACCCCTTCCACCCCTTTATATTTTTCTCCTAAATTGCAAGAGAGAGAAAGAAAATTCTAGTAAGAGAAAGCTCAAACAAGACCAAGCTACCACCAAGGTAAGCTTCCATTCCCTTTGTGAATTATTTAGCTTTGGTTAGGACTTGCGAATTGGAATTGTTTGGGACTGTTTTGAGATGGTTTTCATGTAGGTTTGGTGGCTTTTCCTTAAGGGGAAATTCTGTCCAAATCCTAAAAAAATAGGAAAGAATAACTAGGAAATTGGAACAATGTGTAAGCAATGTGCAAGCAATAGAAAGGAGTAGGAATTGATGGCTATGATTGATTTTTGGAAGAAAATCCAACCCCCTAATCCTATATATATGTTTCAGCCAAAATGAAAAATAAGGATTAGAGTTTGATTCAAATTGATTTGATGTTTCTACTATGTTTAAATGATGAAATCGTGCAGGGAAACACCAAGAAGGATGCTTAGAAGCATTAGAATTAAAAATGGAATTCTTGGACCTTAAAGGCATACCTTTTGGCCAAATAGAATTCAAAGGGAAGGAGTTGCATTTTGTTAAATCCAAGCTTATATTTGGATTTCTCATGAAAAATTGAGTAGGAAATAGCCAAGAGAATGAATTTAGAAATCAAGATTAAAAAAGTAGAAACTTAAGTTAAAGAGGAATCAAGCTTGAAAGTTAGAGTTGTTAATGGTTCTCATGGTCTTAATGGCTTGGCTATTAATGTGTATTGAGAATTTAGAGCCATCAGACACCAAGAAAGAGAAATGACAAGATTGTTTAAGCAATCTTGATGGTTGGTAAGGAAGGAAGGAAGAAGAAACCTTAAAGATAAAAGGTAGTAAACTTACCCTGATGATTGGTCTATTATAATTCTCCTTATGGTGTATTTATAATGCGTCTCATTGGTTATGAGCCTCTTTATTCTCCTCTTATTGGTTGTTGTTCGGAACTTTGCTATTTATCTCTCCAATTTCCTATATTGTGAGCCTTTATTGGTTCTTATTTTTCTAGTTTGTTTTATCATTATGATACTTTTTTTCCTTCTCTAAATTCTATTCACTCAGTTGACTAACCTTATTGGTTATGATTATTGTGCTTTATCTGATTGGTCCTTATCGATCAAGTGTGTTTCATCTTCTTATTGGCTATTTTTTATCTCTTCTGTCTACTTAACCTTATTGTTTTTTTTTCCCAAATATTGTCCTGTATTTTTTTCAAATGTGAAAAATGAAAATTTTATTTCATCTAGCATTTGTCTATATAAAATATGGTGTCCTTTGTGTATTGTCCTTTCTTTTTCATCTCACATCAACCCATCGTAGCCTTATTTGCCATGGCTCTGCAAGATGTGTTTATCCTTACCGAACTCAATGACTCACACACATCTTTGGTATTTGCCTTAGGGTTGTCCATCTATTTTGGGATTTTCCTTTTGAGGAGATAAATCCTAAAGTTACCCTGAATGTGATTGTAGCGAATAGGAAGGTTTGTTCTTATGCTATATTATTGGCATTCTTGTATATGCCTTTCTATAGCATTAAGTTTTGCATTATCTAACATCATAACATTGGCATGTTTGATTTTTTTAACAAGGTAACATTACTTTGGTTGTTGCGAGAAAACGATCAGTTATACGTACAATGTCTAGCATTCTTGATGAAGATTGTACCTTTTTGTTTCATAGGTTTGGTGTTGAATGGGGTATAAATTTGATTAACTTTGACCTGAAGATTGCGCTGGAGGATTCATTTCTAGAGGTCATGCCTGACATAATAGATGTTTTGATGATTCATTTCCAGTCTCTTTTTGTTCTTGCAACGACTTCTTATGAAGAACCAAGATTAATTTGTACAATTCTTTTCATATCAATTAATTTTATTTAAGTTCATTTTGCTGCTTCAATAAAATGTGTGCTATGTCTAGATGTGTACGGCATTATGGCCGACGTGGGTTGCCTGGAGGATGTATTGGTTAACGGGGAGTGGACTTATGAGTTCAATTTTGATCTCTTAGATGACTAGTATGTTCTTATTTGTTCATTTCAGGCTGTACATGTTTATGATCACATTTTACTCAAGTCAAATTGTGGATTTGTTCCTTTTCCATACAGCAGTAATTGTTTCCATTGCATCCTCCGTGATTCATCTGCTTATTGGACATATACTCATTATGCTCAATTACCATCTGAAGATGATCGTGTTGTCTTGCTCAAATGGGTCAAGATGGAGAGGGTCAAGTATATGATACTTGAGGAATTGATATCCATAATTTTCTTTGAATTGAATTGAGTGGTTTTCTTTCTTGATAATGATTGATTTGATGGTGAAGCCAATTTTTATGCAGCACACATGTTATTTTGAAGCTTCAGTAGCATCACCATGGTTGTTTATGATTTTTCTAATCCTGAGATACTAAATTTCAACATTAACATTGATCGAAAGCATTGCAGTGCCCAAGCAACATCGACATTGTCTTGCAAGTATTATCTTTATGGATGAGTAGTTTGACCAGGATGGGTTGTGTCGTTCTTTTTGTAGTGGGACTTTTCATATGTATAACTTTGATCAATTATACTTATGAAGTCATTTTCTATATGTGTAATCCCTTCCCTTTTTGTTAAGTTCTGAAAGATTGAAGTTTGGCTATTTGATTATTAATATTTGATGTCATTTTTAATGGATGATTTAAACTACCTACTTATTTGATGAGTTAGTTATTTTTTTGGTATCATCAATTTCTTTTGCTAATGGCCTTTTAATTTTTTGACTTAATTTGGGGTTATCAAATACTCAGATGTTTAAGGACAAAATGGTGTAAAGTGTATTATGTTATATCAGAGATTAGCATTATGATGCAACTATATCAGAAATTAGCATTCCTTTCTCACTGGATTTTAAAAAAATGAAGGCTATAACGAAACATGTATTATCCCCTTTAAAAGAACATAGTAAAGAAGAGTATTATGACCCAATTTGAAATCCTTCTTTTCAATTTTTCCCTCTAAATCTCATCTCCATGACGTGCGATAATAATAATTGTTCTCAAGCCATTAAATATGAACCTCCCATTATTTAATCCAACAATGAAGGTGGCTTTCTTAGAGGAAAAAAAGGCAATAGTTCCTTCTTCTTTTTTCTGATGTTGGTGAACAAAGAAAATGAATTTGAGAATTGGATGAGTCAATATTGAAGGGAAGGTGGATCGGTGAACATATATTGGAAATGGAGATTAAGTATTCATTTTATTATTTTCTTTGAATCTTGGGGTTTTTGAATTTCATTTGCAAAGAGGTAATTATCATTGGTTTTGTTATCTTGTGACCAAGGCTAAGTAGATTCAAACTAATAGATGCTATTATATTATTTGTGTTATACATCCTATTTGGAAATTTTAATTCGTGTTAAACATTGTAAAAACTTTGCCTTGTGAAGTAACTTACACGGCAGTTTTGTTTTTTTTGTTTTTTGTTTTTTTCCCTCCCCTCGTAAATTGAATGCCCCTACATTTATCAAATTTGGGATAGATTTACGGATATCAATTTGTCATTAGAGGAAAAAACTTTCTTTAATTGAACCATCTTTTCATTCATTGCGAAACGTAAAAAAAAGATATTCTACGGTGAGAAAATAATTGCTAATATTAAAAAAAAAAAAAACACATGAGCAAGTCCTAGCCATCTGTATAATCAACCTTCCCATTTCCTACATTAAAATCTGTAGTGATGTGCCTGTTCCTTCTCCTACTTCCCCACTTTCTCCTATATTAAAATCAACCTTCCTATTTCCAATGTTTTTGAAAAAAATCCTCTGATGGGTTCGAACAGTTGGCAATGCTTGCCATTTATTTTGTTATTTTCAATGGTTTCATTTTGCTATTTTCCATTATCGTATCTTGTGCTATCCGTTGTCATCGGTTGATCATTGCCGATAGTTATTCCATTTCTACATGATGTGCTTATTAGGCTTCGCCGCAACTTTTGCCCAATTAGTTTATGGGGCATAACATTAACTTCGCCTGACTTTTATTATTTCCTCTACTATTTTCTATAGAAATTATGGGATTTTTTCATTGTAGAACGTGTGATTGTGGATGATGTTTGCCTTTTTGCCCGTGCTAGGTCATTAATTCTTATTGTCATTTCTAACATCTTTGAATTGTTGTTGCTTTAGAAAATTGTATTTAATTCTCATTTCATTTTCAAATGCCATCTACTTCTAGTGGTTAATTTCATTAATAAGAATAGTATCAATATCAAATTAAATAGTATTAAATAGTGACATGTAAGTTCGAATTTTTAAAATTACAATGATGATAAAAAAATATGTCATTATTTGAGATTAATAGTGTTAAAATTTGGGGATTGAAAAATTATAGATTAAGAATATAAATTGAAATTTTATATTAAATGAAAGAATAAATATACAATTTTACTTTTGTTTTTTTATATTCATCAGATTTTTGGATCTCAAATTTTATTAAGTATATGCATTAGAATCAAATTTTTTCCTATTTTGAAATAAGATTTTTAGATCTCGAATTTTATTAAGCATATACATTAGAATCAAATTTTTTTCAATTTGAAATTAACATGAATAAATGTTTGATTGTCATTTCCAACATCTTTGAATTGTTGTTGCTTTAAAAAATTATATTTAATTCTCATTTCATTTTTAAATGCCAATTCACCGCTTTAGCTTTGTACATATATGGTTTGTCACATCAAAGTAATATCATTTACACCGTTTTATTGGATCATCCATATTTTCCCTTCTATTCTTCTTGTCTTCTACGCAATGGCAACGTCGGCTGTTAAGGGTGACCTGATCAAAGACATTGATGATGTCAAGGACACATGGCGTCTGTATGCTAAGGTCCTCACTCACTGGACTATTCTGAAGAGGATTCCTCCTTTTCCAATATGGAAACTTGGGCTTCTATTAGTAGATGCAGAGGTTTAAATCACTTAACTAGTCTTATTCAAATGAAATTTCTTCAACCTCTGTGTGCTTAATGTTTGGTCATTTGCTCTTATACAGGGTAACGTCATTGAAGCTTTCACAATTCAAAGGTCATTATTTGGATGATATATGAGGGAGTTGGTCAACAAACATGTTTATCACTTTGAGAACTTTGAGGTTATATCGGGAACACATACTAGTATAAGGTGACAAACAATAGTTGGAAATTAAGCTTCCATACTTCAACATACATTGATGACTCAGATACTCCAATTTGTCATGAAGCATTCAATTTTGTTGCTATTAAGGATTTGGCTGAGGACAAAGTGGAAAGGGAAGATCTTATTGGTTTTTTTTTTCCATTGATCTTATTGGTATGTTGCATTGCCCACGTAGATATTTGTAGCATGGTACATACATCATAACACATTTTCTTGCTGCACTTAATTGCTTAATGTCCTTGTGCAGATGTGCTTGGTTTTCTTCAAGCATAGGGAGATTTGGAAGATGTTAAAAAAAACAATACAACAACAAACAGGCTCAAGTTCACTATTGTTGACGTTGTTAGCGGCACTCTCACCCAAGAAGAGGGTGAATTGGATGAGTTATAAAAGTTTTGAGAATTTAAAACAATAAGTTAATGAAAACAGAGAGTATGAGTTGGAGAGATTTCACCGTAGAAAGTAGACACAGAATTTATACCGGTTCGGTCTCAACCACTTGACCTACGTCCAGTCCTCAGAACATCTTTGAGTATTCCACTATGTTCCAAGATTAATCAGGCTCTTGGTGCCATAGTACGGCAATTAATACTCTCAATCACTCCCCCTTACTACCCGTAAGGTTAGAATCCCACTCAAGAGTCCACACTCTTGAGTTTCACACAAGATGTGATTAATGATAAAAGATACAAACTCTCTTACAGAGTGAATAAATGATAATCATTGAAGCTCGGTGTATGGAAGAACAGAGTATTGAATGTAACAGTAAATGATCAACAGAGGGTAGTCGTGTATTCAATCTGTTCATTTAATGCTTCTTCGAGCCTTTTATAGTTGAGGTAGTTTAGTAACCATTAGATGGAAGAGCTTCTAGCCATTGAGAGTCCAGTTGCGTGTTTTCCCAGTTGCAACGGTTTTCACCATTAATGCTTCTGACAAGGTAGGTTACAGGCTACTTAGATAACTGTTGGAGAGTCGTTGGGTTTTTCTTCGTAATCTGCAATAATACTTTAACTCAATAAGTTTTTCTTTGCAAAGTAAGATTTAAAGCAGAACCGAACAAATGATAAAATGAACATTCATAGTTTACAAGTAGAATCAATCAGTTGTTAAATGTGCTGAGCAATAACTAGACATGCTTGATCAAAGTATTGATCGATTACTGATTGATCGATCAGTTATCGATTATTCAGAGTAAGAGCTTTTGAAATAGATAACTAAGTTTATATATCAAGTGATGGATTAATGATTTATCGATCAAGTGATCGATAAAAGGAAACAGTGACATCATACTGGTATGCAGAGAAAAAGAAGATCAAGATCGCTCTTGATTTTGAATCACTTCAAAAAGATAATTAGTATAAGCATAAAGGCTGAGAAAAGCTTGAATGAAGTAGATAATTGAATTTGAGAATCATCGTAACTGATTGAAGTTTAAACAGAAAAACATTCCATGATTGAATAAATGATTGAACGCTTGTTGATTGATCAGGTTATCGATAAACAAAGTGTTATAGAACATAGATTTTAAAGTAATAATGATCGAACACTTTATCGATAAAAAGATGATGGATAACTTTATTGATAAATGATAAGTGAAAATATGTTCAGTGAAAAACACAAACTATGTAGGTTAATCGAATAGGTGATCGATTAATGAATGATCGATCAAGTGATCGATAAAGTAGAACATAGAGATTTAATCCTGCAAAGTCAAAGAACTAATTTATCGATCACGTTATGTGAAAAACAAGGCAAACATGAAGTGTGTTGATCGATCATATTATCAATAATTTGATTATCAATCCAGTGATCGAAGAACCATGATTTAAGAACGATGTACCAATGATCGATCATGTGATGGTTAATTTGCTCATCGATCAGGTGACAGATAAGCTACTTGGACAAATACCTGCATGTAGAGAGGGTTATGAAGCAATGTTCGATCATGTTATCGATAAATCACTGATTGATAAAGTGATCGATAAATGGTGGCTAAAGCAAAACATAGAATGAGTAGAGCGTATTACCATTTATCTGTCTTCTCATCGATAATCTGTTTATCAATCATTTTGTATCCCTTTATCTGACTGATGTTTGATCATCTTGATTATCGATTAAGTGATCGATAATTTACTCCAGACTTTTATACATAACTAAGTTAACAATGATCGATCAACTGATCGATCAACACATTATCTAACAAGTTATCGATCAAAATTTCTGCTAAGTTACTTGATTGTACAGAGATATTATCTATCAGCTTATTGATAAGTCCTTGATCGATCAGATGATCGATCAACATACTGAAACATATATTACTTACTTT